TTAATTTATTTATTTATTTATCTATTTATTTATTTATTTTTTTAAGAGCGTTCACATGATAAGTTTGCAAAGAAAATGTGTAAGTGTCCAATTCATTAATAAAAGTCGAAAACAGCAGGAATCATAAATCTTTATTAAAACGTTTTGACGTGAGCAGAAAAAAGTAACTTCATGATCCACTTTTAGTATGTATAACAAAGAAGAGCACCTTTCACTGCGTAAATCCGTTATATTACTTGTCATGACGCATCGTTATGAAATCCCAGATAAAATTTTCTTTGTAATAATATCATTATCTCAAGTTTTGCAAAAATTTACATTCATATGACATTCCTGATCTTTCAATAAATTTTTCACCAAAAACTGTACACTATTACTCAAATAAATGCCAATTCGATATTAAGATATTCGACTTTAAGATAAATAAAAATGAAGTTTATTTTTTCACAAATTTAAAACCAATTAGAAATTCTTTTTACCAACCATTTCGCAATTATGAACGCAAACACGAATAAAAGGAGTGAAACGATGCTTATCAGTCGTCAATTTCATTACAGCTCTCGCGTAATATAGAAAGTGACGGTGTAGTGATGAAATATACCAGCAATATACAATATCATATTCATACCGATACAACGCGTCCATTGATTGATCTAATAACTGTGATTTCAGGCTTCAGTGTATATTCCTGACTCACGCGAATATTCCTACCTACAGGCGTATACATACATGTAGTAAGGCTCGAATTTCCGTGAATTGATTCATAAGCTTTGTGAAGACATTTAAAATTGACGTTCATTTCCTAACTATACCTTTCGTATTCATCACTAGCATATGGATGTACACCTGTATATTGCGGAAGGACCGATGCTATTGCATTTACCTGCTGCTCTTTCTTTGTACTTTTGTGTAGTATTGGGATACACTGGTGTAGGAAACCATTCGATAATTGAATTTATAGCCTAGAACTTTTTGTTTATGAAACTGATTTTTCACATTTTTGCTTTGATCGACACATGTTCTAATGTTTTATTAGATTTTCTAAGACTAAGTGATTTTTTTCTTAGAGATATTCGTAACCAAATGATTGGGAAAAGGATAAAACATATTCATGCTGCAGCATTTATCATTTATTTATCATGATAACCCAACGATGAACGGTTGTACATCGAGAGAAATGTCCACGGGAAATTAAAAACTGTAGAATATTTAAGAAAAGACGTTTTTCGATTTAGTAAAGTCTTATTTACATTATTTATTTAAAACTTGATGAGCGATNACTTGTTATTATTTTAAATTATTAATTTTTGTAAATTTATGATAACTTATCTATGGTGACAACAATTTGACTTGTCACAATCATAATATACTCTCGGATTTTCTTTTTAATTTTGATACTTATTCTTACGTATGAACCACTGTATTAAATATCTTTCTGTCTTTCATTTGTAATGTTCGTCATAAATATTTTTTAATATTAATTTTGTTTACAAGTTTTCTGACAACATACTCCTATTATTTAGAATAGATTCACACTTGGCACTTATTACGGTATTTGCTTTTTATAGATAAGATGTTGAAATGAGGAATCTAATACTTTTTTTTTTTCATTACCGAAGTTGCAAGTTCATAATTTTACAATCCTGCCAAAAAAGTGTATATATGTTCTTGTGTACATTTAGCACTGTAACAATCAAAAGTATGTATGTTTTAGACAACATCAGAATATATCAAGCTCACTAGCGTACCTGTGTACCTGTAAATACTTAAACGTATCCTGGGAATCCCCGAATAATATAAAAAATGTCACAGCTCCATAGATTTTATCATTATCCTACAAGCATATGATAGCTGGTTGCCACACGAAAGGGTGCCCACTTGTAGGTACGAGAGTATATTTAGACTTGACACAGAGTGTGCGAAATGATACTACTCAAAACTATAGCGAGGGACTTTTAAATACATAACATACTATACAAGTCTCGTGTCGCATACGACATAAATGACGAAGGGTATGGATTTATGGTACAGTGCAAGTATTAACCATGGCAATAGTACAAGGAGGCAGCGGCTGGCGTCGCCTCAGTCAGTCCGAAGCTGCCAAAGATGGCCTCGCTCCGATCAATGAAACTCGCCAGCTCGAGTAAATCGCGTAGTAAAATACGGTCGCAGACCCCTAGCCTGCAGCTATTCCTAATCAGTGATTAAAAACAAATGCGGCATAATACACACGAAATCCTAATCGTAACCAAGTGCGTGTTTTATAAGTGCGTGAAATTGTGTCGTGTGTTTATTTCTATACAATCATGAACTACTGTGAAGAGACGAGTAACTGCAGACTGTTTCTGTACTGCTACTACTACTACACACCTGAAGAATCAAGGGGGTTGCTTGGAAGGGAGTAGGAGTATATTCAACCCTGATCATGTCATGTACATAATGATGCACTACTCGTGTTGATAGCTGACGAGGTTTAGGGGGATGATTTAAATAGGCCATGGGCAAGGACCAGGAGCTCCTCGAAGCAGCGAGGAACGGCAACGTAGCCGTCGTCGAGAAGATACTTGGCCAGCGCGCCAAGAGAAGTGGTCCTTTGGCAAGGTGGGTGGACTCCTTAGTCTTCTGCTATTTTATCCTTTTAATCATATTATTGCTAGACATATAAGTATTGTGCCTAAAAAGGATATGTAACTAAATTGCTCCTTAAAATTGCACTTATATTTGTGCTTCTCTCAAAATTAAATCTCGATCTTGCAGGGCGGGTCGCTGGAACTGCAAATACGTGCGAGAAAGACGGAAAACACAGCTTATCAGTCGGTGTAGTTGTGTTGAGATCTTTTACATGTGTGTTTGAATATACATACAATGAGAATACTACGAGAGATTGTTTGGACGTGTGAATAATGAGAAAAGATTTGTCATCAGTGGTTAGCTGTTTTTCATGCTACTTTTATTATGCTTTCACTTTAGAGAATCAATACACGCTGGGGTGGTGATATAGGATAGAGGAGATATTGAGGTTAGAGCAACCCCATAGTAAATTAAAATATTTCCACTTTAATTACCTTTAAAATGATTTGCTACTACAGTAAGGGGATGATGACGTTAAGAGTATGCTTTATTTAAGTGTGTAGATATTCATTTGTTTTATCGAATAAATTTTAATGATTGAGTAAGAAAGTTTCTACATTATTGCAGCACTTTAAATGCCAAACACAACTTGGTTGGGCACAATTTTTCATTTTTCTTATCGTAAAACATTCATTATATCTTCTACATTTCACTATATTTAAAAAGTCACAAGTTTTATTGTTTATTGAGAGTTTTATAGAAAGTCAAATAAGAATCTCACACAGTACAAAGTATTAAGAGAAAAATCTAGGTAAAACTACCTTAACAGGAAAAGCAGTATCGAATAGTATAAATATGTATTGTTAAGCACATGCTGTTACATTGCTATGGTTTTTTTTTTTTTTTGTGACTGGAGTTTTTTTATACGAATATTACAGATTTTTGGGCTACTTTAACACATAATAGAACTGTTTTACTCATATTAAGTTTTTACACTATTTTCTATAAACTCTATACAATTGGTACTAATAGTGGATAATACTAATTTTAATTATTTATATCTTCAACCTCGATAAAATGTAAAACCAATATTTTGTTGGATTATTTCATTTGTCTGGTAAATATTGAATGTGTATTAATAGTTTTCAGTTTTATCTATTAATTAACTGTAAGGCGAGTCTATCATCCTATTTATAAATTCAAGTCTATTATTGTAGTTATGAAGAAGTAAATATAATTTTATTAGATAATAAACAATTTGTGAGGTAGCTTTTCCACCATAAACAATAATATTAGTGATTTTGGGTACTTTAACAGTTTTGGGAAGCTAAGTTAACGAAAGATGGACTGATTTTTTATGTATACAACAACTGTTTTCATAAGCTGTACTGTCAGCTATTATTACTTCAGTTTAACAACAGTTGCATGCAAGAAAACTTAAAGTATTCTATTTTTGATGTCCTTATTTTCATAGGTTTTGAATATTATTTATAAAAAACCATTAAATAATACTGTTTTTTTGTCTCATTTCCTTATTGCGTAAAAATCGTAGCATAATTTTTAGAAAAATTTAATTAACTTCAACAGTTTTCAAATAATTATTTTCCTGCTGATAAAATATATACATACTTTTTTAGTACATTAACAGCTTACATAAATTTCTTAACTGCTTATTATTACACGTCTTTCTTTGAGAAAATGCTAGAAAAATTATTATTTAGCACTAGCTCTACTAACAAGAAGAATTTTATTGTAAATCTTTGAAGCACGTTTATTATCAAGCATATATTCAAAGTGAAAGTAAAATTTGTTAAAATATCCAAATGTCTCTTTAGTGTCTCTTTCCAGGAATAACAGAATATCAATGTAAGAAAAATGGTGCTATGAGTATAAGACAACATGCCAATAACTGGGACACATAAATAAAAATGTAATTTTTATTTAGTATTCGTTGTTATTTGGACCGATTAGTAATAAAAAATTATCATGAAGTATTAAATTATGTGATTTAATAACCTAATTAAATAGATTTATTTAATTTCTACTTATATTTTAAATATTACGATGATTATAACGTGACTTAAGGTGGCTCCAGTGTCCTCAATGTTAAAATTATAAATAACCCAACCGAGGTTAATAAAATTGAATTATATTCTTGGAATTCCATCTTTCTATTTTTATTTAAAGATAG